TTTCAATAAACACAGACATGTCAAGAGCTTAAAATCAAGAATTTGATCATCTCCAGTTAAAAATAACATAGACAGTAAAATAATTAGAATACGTGTTAAAATAAAAATAAAGTCTTTCTAACGTATAATATAAAACAATCTTAATTCATTTGATCTAGGAGAAGAGGTGTAGCTTACATACAGCGGTGGATGCGCACATGAATGCCTCATATATTACACACAAATCGCTCAAACACTGCACGATGAGTCCTTCCTGTTTGTGCTTAGAAACATCGCAGGTATGAGAGGAAGACGAGTGATTATGGGGTTAAAAGAATGAGCGGGCGTGCAGGATGAAGGGAAGGGATGGGATGGAAACGAGGCAAACAAGACGACAGGAGTCCATGCAGATGTTTCACAGTGATGTCTCTTTTCCTTTTAGTGGTGTTACACTGAGAAGCAGGCAGACATGGAGAGCATGACAGACAGAGGACAGCGGAGCCTCAGATGTAGGTGACGGCACCTTTGCTGTTTTTCTCCAGCGTGATTTCTACGTAGGAAGTGGGAACGTAGCCCTCCTCCCCGCTCTGCTTCCTCGCCCGCGTCCACCCGTCGCCTTTGTCCTCCTCGATGATGTACAACACCTGCGGGCAGGCAGACAGTCAGGACTTCACGCTCTCCCACGACTCACCGGAGATGAGTTTTCAAATTGCACCATTCAAATCAAACTCAAGAGTCTCACCTCGTCTTCTGCCATCACTAGCGTGCCCTCGTTCTGACCTGAGAGTCAAACAAAAACAGGACACTTAGACCACATCAGGCTTGATACTCTGTAACCAGCTCAGTTCAGACTGCATGTGCTTACCGTCAAACGAGTAGAGCGCTTTGCAGTGTCCGATGACAGGCAGAGGGTCGTCGTCGTCGAACTCGTCGTCGAACTCGTGTGGGTCGGGGTTGGGATGTCGAGGCTGCGCTGGACCGGGCCGGTGATGAGGCGTTTGATGCTCCTGGCTGGTGTCGTCTGTGTAACTGCCCTCAGGGCTGACAGGAAACAGGCGTGAGCTTAGTGTGCACGGGACTGGTCACACTTATATTTGATTTAGAAGATAAACAAGAACCAGCGTGCATCGAGAGTACACATGGAAAAATGGTGACCAAAAAAGGGAAAAGGCTTTACTTTGGCCCATGAAACATTTGTACTGCTTTGAGGCAACTGTTGTTGTGATTTGGAGCTATATAAAGAAAACTGAATAAAGTTGTAGAAAATATGCTGGACAGAAAAATGAAAGGACGTGGGGGCGAGACCAGCCGCTGAATACCAATTTCAGCTGCCGCAATTAAATTCAGCAAAGTGGACAAGCTTGCTGCATCAGTTTTCTTTGATTTGATTTTTGGGCTATCTCTGAAATCTGCCCTTTCATTTCCATCCAAAGATGTGGCATCTTTTCATCCTTTAAGTCCTAACTCTGGTGCATGATTGAGATCTGATGTGTTTTCAATCTGTTTCTTTAACTTTTCTGAACAGTGAAAAACAAAGGCCCATTTTCAGTGAGGAACATAAGTGCTCCAAAGAAAAGACGGGAACATTTGATACCTCTCTCTGCCTTGAGGACCATGGTGATGGTTATCAGCGCTGTGCCTTCTGTCTCCTCTGGAGCTTTGCTTTCCCTCCACCTCAGACAACCACGTCTGTCAGTGACACGGTTCATTAGTATACATTTCAACAGGTGGCCAGAAGCTGCATGTAGATAATGACTGAGACCTTGTTGTCCTGTCTTTACCTCATTTTTGTGGATTTCGGAGCGCAGTTTCTCCATGTTACAAATGGTCTCTGATATTTTGGGCTGCAGGCTGTTGGGGTCTCCCATCTGAGGATTCTTCTCATACACGTCCTTCATCTTGTTCAGAGCATCTCTGACAGAAACACACAAGCAAGCAAGCGAAGCTTATAGAGCAGACTGATGGCGATAAACAGTTCGAGGGCCATAAAAGCGAACCTGGATCCTGGATGGAAATATCTGACAGTGACATCATTTAACAGTTGTAAGATCCAGAGCAGGTTTCCTACAATCTTGCTGGTTTGGATGGCTTGGCCAGTGTCTTACCTCTGATCCATCTCTTTCTGGAGCTCTCTGTTGAGTTCATCAATCCTCTGCTGCAGTCGCTTCCTCCTCTGCTCAGGAGGTAAGTGGCTGAAATCCTCCAGAGACGGTGCCTGGGGCAGGAAAAAACAAAACAAAAACAGGATTAGACTCTGTCGCGGAATTGATTAACTTTAGATGAGTGATGCCAGAGAATGATCCCCAGAAAGCACAACAAAAGCAACAAAGCTTATTGCATTTGCTTCTTTGTTAAGATGCAATTACACCAGCGACTCATTTCCATTAGGAGCCCAGATGCTGCAGCGTGAGCTGGTTTGTTGTGGAAATAAGCAGCTCAAATGTTAGAGGTGAAAGAAACAGCAGCTTTTCTAGAGCCTCTGATCCAGAAACTGTCAAAAGAGCTTCATCAGCAATTCATTTGTTCGGTTGTCATGGAAATGTTCACATTGCTGTTTTCCCTTTCTCTGAATTTTAAAGAAGACCACCAAATCAAACCTTTGATCTTCAGTAGTAAATATCCATCTAGAGTGCTTTGATGCGAGTCGCCTCATTCTTGAGACATCAGCTGGAGAGATGTGTGCCTTAATTTGAAAAAAGGGGAACTAATCAACGTGACTTTTCCACAATGCTCAAAAAAATATACATTAAAGAAAAAAAACAAACATTTTCTTCCACAAAGCACGACCTAGCTAGTGAAAATAACACCACAAACAAACCTTCCTATCCATGCACCACCAGCCTTATCAGTGTGCCTCCGCCTGTGACGCGGGCTCGTGACGGTATGCAAATACTGAACTGTAACGCTAGCTAGCTGCATGCTTCACTTGCTTAGCTGGGCGACTCACACCAAAATAATCTGCAGGGACAAACAGCAGCACAGTGTAGAGGGAAAACATGAAGACTGGATTAATGTGAGCTCAAAGGGACAGCTCACACACTGTGCTGGCCTTAAAGTCCACTCATGGTGTGATGAGTCTGCTTCATCAATTCCATAGCAGAAAATATATAAAGCATGATAATAATATAAATAATTTATATATAGCCTAATAAACAGCTCTGAATGCAGCTGACAGGAACAACAGCTGTTCCTCTAAAACTGAGGAAGTCTGTATTCGTGAGGATCCACATGTACTGTTTGTACTGACAGACAACAGGAAATCTATTCTACCTGGAGAGGAAGTGGCCAGCTAACACTACTGGGCTGTGCACTGTGTGTTGGACACTATGGGAGTCCTACATGGTGAGGTTAGATGCACTGGCACCTACATGGCCGAGTCTTCTCAACAGCACTAGTCTACACACTCACGCAGACTCACTTACCATCTTCACTGACCACTGAGCCGTCACACATTAACAAAAAAAGAGAGAACAACAGTGGATGCTGTTAGTTGTCAGAAGAGTGTTCACACTGGTTACTGGATGTGTTTACTGTGTGCGTTCTCAGTGTGGTCCAGCACCTCGTGTTTACTAAACACAGCAGCAGCGTGTGTGTCCCCCCTGTGAAACTTCCCGCTGATTGTGTTTTACGCTTTCACAGGTACACACCACTCCTGCTTGTTTTTGGTGCAAAGTTACAGCACTTTCCATAACTCAGGAGATTCTCATGGTGGGAAGATTTCTTGCTGATTCATTAAGGGACAAAGGAAAACACTAAACTAACAGAGAGCAACAAACGTACTGGTAAACTAGTTAAAAACATGTTCTTGCATCAAATAACAACATCCCAACTACCCAATGTGTGGGCAGTGACAGCCTGCAGAGCGTTTGAGTCACAGTTCACATTTAAAGGAATGTCTTGTAAAGTACTGCATCCTGCTGCTGGCTTTGTGCTACTCTGCTCTTTGACAGCAGGTGGCAGCACAACAGTCACTCCACAGTTCATTCTCCACATAAAGCCGGGCTTGCTGCTGCTGCTGCTGCCATCTTGCTCAGGGAGGTCTGACTACAGGCTCTGACCCAGTCCTATAAAATGTCATATGCTGTGCTGCTAAATGGCTCATCGGCAGCTTCCTAACCAAGTCAAACTCTCTTCCACGGTGTGTCTTCAGTCTCGTCTCCCATCCCTCACCCCCAATCGGTCGCTGCATATGGCTGCCTCTCCCTGAGCCTGGTTCTGCTGGAGGTTTTCTTCCTGTTAAAAAAAACATTTTCCTTCCCACTGTCGCCAAGAGGTTGCTCAATAAATAAAAATTAATCGTATTGACTTGATCCTGCCCTGTTTTACATTTCACGGCAGAGCCTCACAATAAAAGCAGCTGCAGAATAATATGGACCTTGCACAATATTTTATAAAACTCATACTAGGTCTACAAAAACAAGCATTTTCTAACTGAAATTTTTCATTTTAAAATGTCCTCACATCATCTGTAAAGTAGAATGAACACCGTGCTCCAAATTCAGCAGCATAAGATTTTTTTTTTTTTTTTTTTTTTTTTTTTTTTTTAATCCTCTGTCCCCGTTCATACATGGCCCAGGCATGGCTGCACCTGAGCAATAACACAGGAGCGCAGATGCATTTTGTCAAAGATCAGCAGCGAGCAGTGCGTGTTATATTCACAGGCACAGTACCTGTGAGTAAAGATGGCAGATTCATGCTGGCGGACATGGAGGTAAACAAAGTACGATCCAATAACAGGGCTTCAAATTGCAAGATATTATCACGTTCCATACTGGTACTTCATCAACTATCCATCTATCCATGAATCTACTGTTAACAGTATACTGCTTTGTTTTTACCCTGTCCAAGAAGAATAAAGCGGCTCAAAGAGATGCACTCAAAATGAATCCATTATCATAAACACTTGCTAAAATATGCCGCCTTGCACATTTGTTTAAACTCTCAGATTGCATCAAATTTAGTAGACCAAACAAAAAGCCGCCAATCACAGATGAAGCTGACAGACCTGAAAGGAATAAAAGCCAATTAAAGCTGAGGACTGAAACGGAGTCTGAATGTTATTCACATGTTTGTGTTAAAACTGTGAGAGAGCAAAAAGCTCTGTCTGACAGCTGAATGAAGCCATTAGCAGAGCGACACACACACACACTACAACTACAGCCTCAGACCAACATCTGCACAACACGTCTGATGTTGGCATCTCTGTTTTTATTTTGTATGCCTCCCACAAATACATCACTGCAGCCACAATGCCAAAAATACCCTCTGAATCCCTCGCACACCGACACACCGTCAATCACCAAGGATCCTCCGTCTTGGGATTAGAGCAAAATTCCATCTTATACATGAAGGAAGCAAAATAATCACACCAAGAGAAAAAAGAACGAGAGATAAAAAGAAAAGCAGAGGGTGGAGGATATGGGAGGAAGGGAAAACAGGAAAAAAAGGAGAAATGAGAAGAAGAAATCATATTTTAGGGTGTCTGCAAGTTTCTCAAGTCAAACGACAATGTATGGGCTCGATGTATTCATCAATCAAGGACAAAAGTAGTTAAACGATCCAGGTCAAAACTGAAAGTGTGCTTTTTGTGCTCATTGTGTAAGTCAAGATTGTTATCGTTCACAGAGGGCCTGCAGACAGCCTGTAGAAGAATCGAAAACCAAAAAACACATCAACCTGTCTCACTCGAACACACTACAGGCACTACTGTCTGTCTCACCCCTCTCCTCAGGCTCCGCAAATTTCGCGGGATTCTGGGAACTGTAGTCTTTATCTCAGATAGGTAGTGGCTGACGAGGTCAGAACTAAACCGGCGTGCAAGGAATAACTGGGAGGTGGACCAGGGACGAGAGGAGGAAGGTGGTGGAGGAGGAGAACAGGCGGGGGACTGGGTGGGGGGCAGGAAGAGAGGACAGAGCCAGAGGTCAGGATGACTTATTGGATTCACGGTGCAGTGTTTCTCCTGACGGCAGGTCGTTTTAGATCAGGATGAAATTCTGGGTTTTAACGATCGCTGGAACTTCTACATTTAATTCGCCGAGCCCTTTAAACCTAATAAACTTTGAAAATAAAACAGGAAGTAAGTTTATGACGCTAATTTGTTCAAAAAAAGTGACACATACACAAATACATATTCAGTTTATCTGATTCGAATGCAAACAATCCAGATGAAAAGGGTGCTTTCCCCACTCTGCTGGTACGAGCTCTGCATGCGAGTCCTTTAGTGGTTCAGCCATCATAATCCATCCACAGTCGAATCCTCTAACTCAGCACATTTTTGTTGTAGAGATCTACCAAAAACCTCCACATGCAACTCATCAAATCTCCTGAAAAATCAATCTCAATCAGCTTCTTCACATGATTGCTGGAGCCCGGCGTGGACACCGTTTATTCCAAACTGAGATCAGTTTGACTTTAACATTTTTCTGTCAACGTGGATCGGGGGAGCTCTCTGTTGAAAAGAAGTGATGTCAAATCTAAGCCACACAGTCTTTAAAAAGAAATGATGACGCTCAGATGAACCAACAGCAGGCAGTTAATGATTGATCAATACGGTCTTTATGGAGAGGGGCAAGGTCCAAGGAGTGTGTTGGAGGAAGCATTTGAGGGTGTTGTTATTGGAAAGGTGACAAAAAAAAAAAAGCTGCAGCTCAACGCGAGCTGAGAATACAAGCTTGATCCAGAGGAAGTGATTAAATATGGGGGAATAACATTAATAATATCTGAAAATATGCAAAAAAAATGACTCTGTAAGAGAAAAATGTATGATGTAAAGGGCAGGGACGGTTAAAATCAAATGAGCTCCTAATAAAGCTGTCTGACTGTATGTATGAAGTCTGTTAAAGAACACGCTCTAGTGCAATGTAGGTATGTAGGTCACTATGGAGAGCCCTTATAAAGATCCTACTGAGTGATAAACATCTAAGGATTATGGGTAAATAACTCCAAATTCACCTGCAAACAGAAATTTTCAGATCTTTTCTGGATGTTTTACGTTATGACACTATTATTTTTTTAGGTCTATATTTTGATTAGGGGCGATCGTGGCTCAAGAGTTGGGCGTTCGTCTTGTAATCGGAAGGTTGCCGGTTCGAGCCCCGGCTGCGACTGTCTCGGTCGTTGTGTCCTTGGGCAAGACACTTCACCCGTTGCCTACTGGTGGTGGTCAGAGGGCCCGGTGGCGCCAGTGTCCGCCAGCCTCGCCTGTCAGTGCGCCCCAGGGTGGCTGTGGCTATAATGTAGCTGCCATCACCAGTGTGTGAATTTGTGTGTGAATGGGTGGATGACTGTGTATAGTGTAAAGCGCTATACAAATACAGACCATTTGATAGACTAACATGAACAGGTCCACAAGGGTGAATTATTCAACAACAAGAAGCATTCATCACTTCCTGTACCTTTGGTTTCTTCCCAAACAGCCAGAGCTTGTTCTTGGTTCTGCTCATGGGGTGTTTCGGATCAGATCGTGGCCCCGGTGCCCCGTCTCGCTCTCGGTCTCTGTCTCCTTTGGGCGTGTTGCTGATGGTACCATCTGAGCCCGTTCTGCTCAAATTCTGACTGAAGTCCTCGAAGGGGAAGTCAGCAGGAGGTTCAAAGCCAGATTTGAATGACTCCACAACTATTGCTGAATCCTGGGAAGTGAGGAGGAAAATAAGTTTTCCTATCTTTATCCAAACACCAACCCCACGTCTAGACAGACAGATTTCTGAAGATGCTAGCAATAACCGCTCTTTTTCCTTTCTTCCTACACTTACCCTTCGCTCGTCTACAGCCTTGGCAGCTGAAACCATTCCCTCTAGACATTTGGAGATGATGGGAATAACTCTCCGCTCTGCCTCAGCAAAGCTTCGATATGTCTCTCCAAGCTTTACCGTCCGACGTTCATCCATGTTCTGCAGATTCTGTTACACAGAGCACAGGAAATGGAATCAACACTAGGAAGTAGCCAAGTACTACACACACATAGACACACGTGCAAACCCCTGCAAGCAGATCCTTTTAATGACAAACACTGGTTAGAAGATCAGTTAAAGCCATGTGTTAAACATTTAATGGGTCACTAACACAGAGCACTATGCTTTCACTGAAATGGAAACCTTTATACAAAGTCATTGAAAAACAATGAAAAAGAATCAGTGAGATTGTGTCAGTAAATAACAACGTGGGCTTGAAGGTACAATTCCCTTCAAATCGTTTCAGTTTTATTTATATTGAGCCAAATAACAACAACAACCTCTTCAAGGTCCTTTATATTGTAAGGTAAAGACCCCTCAATAAAATCAAATGACCCCCCAACACCCAACCCAACCCACCCCCCTCCTCCATGAGCACGCACTTGGCGACAGTGGGATGGAAAATCTCCCTTTTAACAGGAAGAAACCTCCAGGTTCATGGAGGAGGGACTATGTGTTGTGACAGGTTCTGTGTGAGGGGAGGAAGGTGTGCTGTAGAGAGAGAGCCAGAGCTACAGTTCAACATGTCTGAGTTACCTTAAAGATCTGTGGTATGGCACTGTGGAAATGTTTCCACTGCTCTGCATTGAAGCTCTGGAGCTGAGCGGCGTACTCGTTCTTGCTCTCATCAGCCGCGTGAGTGCGCATGTAGAACTGGGCTTTGGCCTGAACAGATCATACACACCAACACAACATCAACAGTCACTGATGTCCCACCAACCTCCAGTCTGTCCACATTATAAATCACATGCATCACGGTGCTACGACTAATTCTGAAGTCATAACAAATTCAAATACTGTGTTTTCCAATTTTCAAAAGGAGGGAAAAGTCACGTCATTGCATAGATCCCACAGTGCAAACAAACTGAGGAGACTGCTACCACAGCATCTTACAGTTTAAGGCACATAACGGTGTTATTACAGGTGGGGGCTTCCTACCTTCTCCACCTCTGATTTGGTGGCGTTGATGTCATTATCTAGCCGCTCGTAGGTGATCTGGGACTTCTCTGCTTCTTTGCACTCTCTTTCAAATTTCTTTTTACTCTGAAAGGGAGAAAATAAACGCACAATTTTAAATAAATTGAGTAATCAAAAGATTATCTAACATTTTCGCAGCCTCTCCATTTCATGTCTCAATAAAAAAAATGTAAAAATAAAAAAAATATGTGAATGAGAGGGAGATGAATCAGAGAGGAGGATAGTTTATTTCCTGCCAAGCCATCTGGGTTACATTACCAGTGAAGGAAACGCAGCGAATAGCTGAGACATTACAGTTCAGTCACCAGGTAGTCACCATTAAAGTCACGCAGCCCACACACTGAAACACTCGAATGGTTGTGCAGCACTGAACTCAACTAATGGGCCTCGGGCCAGGAAATGTGAAAAGATAAGAATTATTAACTTTTTTTATTTACGTTTATTTTGGAGTTGTTGTGATTACAGAGAGGTCTTGTAATGAGCACTGGTGTAAAATAACTCAGCTCACGCAAGTGAATGATCTCAGATGAACAAATGCAATCTCTCGCTCCTTCTTTCTCTCTCTTGAGCCCGTAAAGAGCCAAAAAGCAGGCCTGTCAGGGGCCAAATGCGGCACATGGGCCTTGCCTTGCTGTGGGAGGGGTTGGTCTGCACTGAGGTCTCTGTGTATGTGTGTTTTTTCAGTGTGTTTCCTGGTCTTGGCCCCTGTCTTCAGTCCCTGCAGACTGGGAAGTTTGCCAGGAAGAAGAAAGGAACCCAGCTGTCTTTTCACACTCAGAAACATGTGCTTTAATATTACAATATTACATATACATACATACATATATATGTGTTTATATATATAAATTAGCACAGATAGTGAAATGCTAAAATCAAATGCAAGTACCCTGAAATTGCATATTTCATTCTTGTATAAATAATGTAACGTGTGAAAGTGGGGGATAAAGTGGATCCTATTAGTCCTTCTGTTACCTTTGTTAACATATCTTACATTCCTCATGCAAACAAGTATGAGATGAATAAAGCCGGCTGTCCTGAGCAGATGATATTTACACTAAACAGTACATTTTTCTACTCAAACCTCCTCCTTCTCGCCTCACTTACATTGTCCATCTGTTTCCAGCAGTGATCCAAATGCTGCTGGGCCTTTCTGCCCTCCTGTAGATGCTGCTCATTTATGCACACACACAAACACACACAACGAGACACATTTACACAGAAGCAGAAAATACATATAAATATGTGTACAAATACAAAATTACTGGACTCTGTGTCACAGTCACATATATAACAACAATTACTTGAAGGAAGAGTTCAGTTCAGTTACTAAAGCAGTAAATGTCCTCAGCTGTACCAGACGCCTTAGTTTGTGCGATTGTCATGGAAATGAATCTGTTGACATGCATATTGAGAACTATGTGATGCACTTAAAAGTTTATAAGACTAATACTGCAGTGGCTGTTCAGCTGGGATTGTTGCCACACTGATATTAGTATATTTGTGATAATATATTATAAACGAAAGAATGGACAGCACTTCTCTGCCAGCATTAGAATCTATGCCAACCTTTCATGCTTTTCAATCCTAAATGTACAGTTACTCTGTTCAAAGATTATATTATAGATGGGAAAGACTTGAGCTGCTACGAAGGATATCACGAAGTCTCTCTAGCTGCAGCCCCACCCACCTGCTATTAAAACGTCCTGATCCTAAACCTATATGTAGTCTTTAAACATCTAAATACAAACAAAAACCACTATCATGTTGGTGTAATCCTAAGATACTACTGTCCCTACAAGAATGAGTGTTGATTGCTATAGAGCACAAAACCAGCAGAGGGCGCTGTTTTCCCCCAAACGCATGGCTTTTAGCCTTTCACTTTTTGCCATCAGCAGATGGTGGAAAAGACAGATGGTTAACATTACATCCAACATATTTATCCTCTTAAGTAAAGCCAAGCAGAACACAAATTCATATGAAGGCGACACAGCGGATGTTAAGGGCAAACAGCAACATCCGTTTTATGACAGGAAGCAACAGTTTCTTTGACAAATGTGATCTAACAGCGAATGAGCTGAAAACAGACAGAAAAGAAAGCACATGTTTGGCTTTTGTTCAGTGGCACGCAGCGGGAGCAGTGAAATATGAACATGTTAATGTACTCACATGCTTCCTCTCAGCTTTCAGGTCCTGGCTGTACCTCATCAGCTCGCCATAAACCCTGTGAGCCATCTCCTCCGCCACCACCTCCCTCTGACCGGCATAGTCATTAAGCTCATTGAGTATGGAGTAGAAAGACAGACATGACGTGAACCTGCAGGAGAGACACATAATTAACACGTGATTAAGACATAACATGTCCCGTGTCTTGTAGTGTACTACACGCATATGCACAAAAACATAAACTCTAAGCCAGGGACATCAAACTCATTTTACATCATGGGTGCATCTCCCTTTGATCTTAAGTGGGCAGGATCAGTGAAACTCCCTTTGTTTTTTATAGTGTAAAGAAGTTTATCTACACATTTAGTCCTGAAATATCTTAATATAAGAAAAAGAAGTGAAACTGCAACAGCATGTCTCAGTTTTGAAAAAAAAAAAAAAAAAAAAAAAAAAATATAATATAATATATAATATATACATACATACACATATACATACACGGCAGTAGTAAATGAAAGAAATGGGCCAGCACTGCTCTTTGGGCTTAAATTGTAAGAAATAAATGTGTAAAGTTACAGGAAAGGATCTGGTAGCTCAATGGACATATTTAGATAGTGAAATACAGGAACCTTTCAGTCATTCCATTGTTTAATCTATTACTTAATTACATTGATGTATTATCAATGTGGAATACCATGTGGAAGGTCTTTATCGCCTAAATGTATGAAAATGCAGTTACAACTCCAAAATTTATGCTCTTCTTTACATTTTCCATAGCTGTCCAGTGGGCCGGACTGGAGTCTTTGCTAGGCTGATTCTGATCCCTGCTCCAAACAAACTACATCCAAACATTCTGCACTGCTTTATTTAGTTTTTTTTTTTAAATTTGTGTCATATTCTTTAGTTACATATAAATGACACTCAAACTGGTGTGGAACTCATTTTAACGTATCCCGCTGCAGTTAGAAGCTTACATACATTCATCATGGAGGTGAATGTTTTGTTAATATTGGCCTTTCAATTATTTCTGTGAACTGTTGTTGTTTTGAGGCTGAATGATTACACTGCAAACATCATTTAAATCAAAGCTTTAATTTTTGCAGAAATAAATACAGGGTATACATACTTTACATGCAGCGCACCTGGTTTAAAAAAAAAAGTGACTCTCAGGAAGCTGCACCTTTACCAGGTGCTTCTGGTGTCAACAAGTTTCTGGCACAATTTCTGGTTGCTCTTCTAGGAAGGATTAGTGGAGTTAAATTGAAATGGTTGTTTTCCTGGCAACTGACTTTTAGTTGTTTTATATATTTCAGAGGCAGCCTTAATGTGTGACTGAGGTCACTGCCCAGCTGAGTCCAAGCTTCAAATGGCAGTTTGAGGTTATGCTGAGGCAGTCTACCTTCTTCCTTATCATGGGTACAGTGCTCTCGTTCCTCACTTTTACGCCTACAAAACAAAGTTGCATCTAAAGGTGTGACTCATCTGACCATTTAATTTCCAGAAGCTCTCAGTACTAGAGAACATGCATCTTTCTTGGACAACAGCCTATCAGTCCATGGCGATGTGAAGCTTCTTCACAGCAGACTGTGACATTGATGTTTCACTGATGTCTTGGAGGATTTTTTTTTTTCTTCTGACCATCTGAACCAACTCATCTCAGGGTGACAGCCAGCCTCTCTTTCAGACCTAAGCTAAATGGATATCCTCCCCAGCAACTTGTACTTTTCACCTGATGTTCTGCAAACATTAAACTCTGGAGCTCTCAGGCACATGGGCCCAGAAACCAGTTGGCAACCCGCTGGTCACGTCATGTCCCAAGGGAAAAATGTGTCGTTTCTGAAGGCTGTAAGCTGGGTGAAATTAGAGAGTCGCAGAGAAGCTGGTTTCTTCTACACAAACTACGGACAGCTGTGGCAATCTGCTCTTGCTAGGAGGTTTTCACTGCAGCATGATATACCTCTAAGACCAATTTCACCAACAACCTTCCACAACCGTTCACCAACCATTCAGGGAATGCACATTGTTCCCCAGTGTCCTGTGGCTACCAGGCAGTCACTGACCAGTCTCTTGGCCTGCATAACTGGAGCTTTAACAAGAGATTTCCCGACAACTGCCAGGAACCATCAACAGCCACTCACAACTGGTCAAATTATACTCATTCTTCCACAGTGCCCAGTGGTTGCCAGGCAGTTGCCAACTGGTCTCTAGGTCTGTGTGACTGGGGCCTTAGAAATGGCTGCAAGAAACATTATAGACGCGTGTGAATCTACAGTTCTCCTCTTCAGATCTGAACTGAGCACCCTGGACTTTTTTACTGTTCTTGGTCAGACTGACGAGTGTTGTGAAAAGAAAATCTATAAGAAAAGAAGCTGCAGCTGTGATCAGTCAGGATCACTCACAGAAATTGTGAGTGCCTTGTCAACACATTTTGAAACTTTTAGTACCTCTGAAAGACAGTGCAAGTATATTGTTGGCTATGTATATTTAATTTCAACTTAAAACATATTTTAGGAAACCCATAATAAATTCCTGAGTCATTTGCATGTTATGCATCTAGAATTTACTGAAACCCAAGATAGCGAAAATATTTACATCCATGATGAGTGCGTGCCAACTTTCTAAAGAAAACTGTGTCTCCAAACCTTCAAACAAAGAAACAAAGAATCCACATTCTCACAGACTTTTGTTTGTAAGACATCAGCCTTCACAAACTCGCAGCTTAATGGTGTATTATCCTTTTCTACTTAATGAAAATCAAAAATCAGTCATGTGATTCGGCTGTGGCTTTTGCTTACAATTAAAGAACAGAAAAACAAAGACTGAACAGTTTTGACATTTTTAGTAATTTTTTTTTATTTTTTATTTTTTTAGCACACGTATGCCATGGCATCAAAGACAGCGTCTGGGTCCTTCCAACGGACAAACAGTATTTATAAAGTGTCCCACAGGCCTTTTCCGCTCTTACCGTCTGCAGACATCCGACAAGTAAACAAAAGCAGAAACACAGACACTTAAGGTTACTCACCTCGGCTCCTCATCTTTGGAGCGCTTTGGACAATATTTCTTCACCAAGTTCCTGACAGACAAAAGACACAGAGAAGCAGACTTGTGTAAGACATTTTAACTGTGGTAGAGAGACACACACATGTGTACACACACACACACACACATATAGAAAATAGGCATCATAGTTTATTGTTAGAGATGAATAACACATTTAAACATCAAAGTCTCTGCCTGTCCATTCCCTCAGGCTCTGCTAGCACAAACTACAGTTACAGTGTGATTTAATTATTTAGCTAGAGTGCAGAGGAATGTGTGTGTGCAACAAACTCTATGTGTGTGTGTGAACGCGCGCACACACACACACACACGCATGCATGCGAGTTGTCTTGCTATCAGTGACAAAATAAGGAGTTTCTGCCTGATTTCCTGGAAACATGTTTCATGCAGACCTTTGATCACTCTTCACAAATCCTCAGCGGTGTGCGTCTTTTTTTCCATCTATTCACAAGAGATATCCCCCCTTTGAAATCCCAAATGCGCCGCCAGTGGGACTCTACTGGTTTTTAAATGTGAGTTACTTGGTCCGTGCCCGGTGAGTTTTGAAAAAGGTTGAATCAACAGACACAGTGAATAAACACACGAGGCACTGTGCTGATGCTGTTATAGCTCAGACTTTGAGCATGCTGGAGACAAAGACAGGCTGCTGTTAAATACATATATTTACCCTTCTTTTTGTTTTACATCATTTCATCTCAGGTCTTCATTCCTATTGTCAGTGCATTGCTTTAGACTGTTTTTTAAGTGTGCTACATGTAACTATGGCAAAAAAAAGCAAAAAACAAAACAAGCAGGGCTTCATCTCTGACCTTCTTCATCTTCCATACATTACTAGAATAAACTTTTATACTATTCTCACTATATTGCATTTTTTGTCTTGAAGAAAGGCTTTTTGCTGTTGGTGTGTTACTGCTCTTAATGAACCGAACAGTGCACACGCAGCTGTATTATACCAAAGGATATAAATATTCATTTGGGATTCAGTCCCAGGAGTGGCAGCATTTACATTAGCCTGATCAAATGCACAAAAAAAAGCTTCAATATAGAATCTTCAGCATCAAAGGATTACCCAGTATGTGTATGAAGGAAAAGACAACACCATCACACTTAATCTGTGTCTCATAAAGCTGCATTTTATGTTTTTTTTTGTCTTAAAGTATATCAATATAACTTTCTGTATTTGACATTTTGAATGTGTGTGTGTGTGTGTGTTTGTGTGTACCGTAGCTGCTTGGCATAGTTTTGCTCTATCTCCAGTCTCTCCTTGACAAACTTTGCATAGCGCTCAAGAAAGTCAATCCCCCATTGAGTGTGTTTGTCCAGATTCTCGAACTGGTCCTAAAGACAAAAACACAGTAAGACAGAAAAAGACACATTTAATAAGGATTTTCAGGACACGGTGAACAAAGGGTTCAATTTCAAAGATTACTCAGCAGTCCATGTGGAATGACTCTGAACATACACATGAGATACACATTTCCTTCTGCTGGCTCAGCTCTAAAAAGTATTAGTGAGCTGTGTACATCTCATGCATCCCTGATTTAAACCACCACATGTGGACAAATCACAATAAATCAGCTGCAGACTCGACATCAGAAGCAGCAAAATTAAGATCAGCATGAGGACGGAATAATGATTGATTCGTACAAATTACATATGACATACTGTTTCAGACTTCAGTATTATTGGTGGTTTGATCAGGAACCCAAAGGCCAGTGAAATCAGTGTCTGTGGCCACATGCCCACATTCGATCCATTCTCATTGAAATCCATCCAGCTGAAGGTTTTCGGGCCAACTGTTTACATTTATTGTGAGTGAACAAGGCATTTTCATGTCCAGATGAGTTGAATCAGCATGATGCATGCAACAACTGTCAAATATGTCCTGCATCATTCTTTTTCACAGGCTACCGATCATCTGTTCACTGCAGTAGTTGCAGTTATTGTCCTGCTCCTGCAGTCAAAGGTTTCTGACTCTCCAGAGGGGATCAGTTCAGCTTGGAAGAGGAGATGTTAACATCTCCATGCGCTTACACAGACGGAGGATACGCATGCAAAGAATGCAGACAGAAAGCAGCCAGGGCGAACATTTACATCCCAGAAATGCTCTTTATAGTCCATCCCTCTCAAACTGCTGGAAGCTTCATTGGGTTTGGGTTCTGGTTGCTTTGCTTGAGGTGTTTTTTGAAAAGGAAACCAAGACTTCACTGTAAACTGGTGGTGCAACAATTTTAAACTTTATAATTTAATATATTACCTTTTTTTGTTTTGTTTTTTGTTGCATTGTAGATTATTTTTTTCTATCCACAGTGCACTGACTCATGGCGGTAAACGATCAAGCATCCTGCTCCACAATCACCCTCATCAAACACAATCAACCCTGGACCCTGCCCAGGACAAACACTCTTATCTATAGCCCACATTGGTGGTTGCTGGTCACTTAATTGTTTTGTGCAAGGCCACCACAATGGCTGTAGATTTGCTAATGGCTGTAGCAATTCTTCAGCTGGAACCAGCTTGCACTGTTACTGCTTTTATAGTGGATCTTACTCTGCCTTTTTCACTCAAATACTGAACATCCTTGTCACTTCTGTCAACTCAGATGAACACCATGACTTTTTCAAAGTACTGAAAGCTCTCCATTAAGACAAAATCAAACCAAAAAGGTGGAAATATGTCAACTACTGTGGACACTGACATCAAAATACCCATCAAGTGAGCCACGTGAGCTACTGCTCTGTGTGCTGTAGGCTGCATGTGGGTGTGTGAGCGTGTGTGTGTCAACATGAAGCTTGAACTGGAGAAAAATAAAGGTCACAGAGGCAAACATGAAACAGCCAACCCTTGCTTGTCCAGTTATTACTTTCTTCAAACACAAAGAGAACAAAAGGAAGCCGAAACAATACTGCAATTTACCTTGCTGTGTACATAGAACAGCAGTGTCAGCAGCAACTGATACCCATACTTAAATGCCAAGTATGGTCTTAAAATCATTAGCAATATGTTCAGAAGTTAACTGCCAGAGTTCTCACCCACCCTAAGCCTTGGCAGCACATCACCCCCACCCTTATGCATCTTCACTGGCTCCTGGTTAAGTTCTGTATCTCCTACAAAATCCCCCTCCTCACCAACAGATCCCTACACAGCACTCTAGGACGTCCTCCTTCCCTTCACATCATCCTGGAATCGGATTTCCACCAACAGGGATCTACTGTTCACCCTACACACCAGCCTGCCATCCTAAATTTGGCAATGCCCCTCTCTGGCAATTTCAAAAAGCAATTATTATAATAATTATTATTATTATAACCTCTGTTCACACACAGAAACAGCTTCTCTAAATCATATTTCTCTAACCAATGTGGAAAAAACTGCATGTTACTAAAAATGACAGGCATTTTTCCCTCCTGCTATACTTGAATTCAATGTATCACTCTACTATTCTGCCACGTTTTCCTCCCCACTGTCCACTGAGGTCCATAATAAGTGCTTCACTAAAGCTTGTAACATCGTGTTTCCACTGTGAAGTGTGGAAGAAATTCTGTCTGGTTCAAGACAAAAACTGCAAACAAGAGGGGGGGCTGCAGTCCAAAAGCAGCCATCAGTCAAAGAATATGCTCACTAATTACAACCAGTGAGATAAACAAAGCGACCCCAGCATGTTCACACAAGCAGCAGGATGAAACACAGAGTTCCCATTGGTCTCTATGGAGCGTGCTGGCAGTTTCCTCTAAGTGAGAAATAAACTGCAAAAGGGCACATTTTCTTATTCAAGCATAAAGATTTCACCCAAAACCGAGCAGCCAAAGACAAAACAAGAAGCCGAGCAGCAGGGTGAAAAAACAAAAATCAAAGAACGGCAATCTGCATGTTTTGGTGGAGCTTTTGGATCAATATTTTCTGCATCCTGTCTGTCTGGCTGCATCTGGTTAATGCGTACCGGCCCTGTTTCTTGCCAGCCTGTCTGGCTCGTTTTAGCAGCATGTCTGTCTGTGGTTGCGTCAGCCTCTGTGACGGTGCCTATGAATAAGTAATACGAGTATGAGCTCATCCTGTAGTTTGTGGCAAGCTGAGCACAGGCTGCCTCACTGGGGAAATGACAGCATCTTCCCGGTCTTCTCTGGGATGAAAATAACGCTGGTTGAAGAGTTGCAGCCTAAATCTGGGATTTGCAATGTGGCTTGGTCTCAGTAAAGGCACCTGCACCACTCACACTTTCTCTGCAGGGAGTCAAATATCAGTTTTTGGACATCTAGTATTCCTCATAACTACGGTAAGTACTAAGTAACAAGACCAGCAATAGTTTTTTTAACCTGTGTATCCAGTCCCGTGTTAAGCCAGTCAGCTGTTATCAGAGTTAGACTGCAGTCTAAGAAGAGAAACTCAGGCATCCCCAGCAACCTCTTCCAACTAGTTCAGGGGAACACCAAGGGTTCCAAAGCCAGCTGAGAGATCTCATTTCTCCAGAGTTTGTCCCAGGTTCTCTTCCCTCATAGAGGAGACATCCAGGAGGCAACCAGTCTCCAAACAGCTGCAGTCTGACTGCAATCACTCTCAGACAGATTGGTGAAGGTTTGCAAATAACTGCCGTCCAATTTGTAGATGGAGACAGACTGCCTACACAATCAATTAGAGTCAGTCTGCACCAGTGATCATCATTCTGCAGACTGAGTAGTGGAGGCAGTGGATGAGAGGTTGGGTTTTTTTGTTTTTTTACAATAATTTATTAAAACGTCTTCCTCATTTTGATGTAGACAGCCATGTGGTCAGATTTAAAATGCAAGCAGTGAGTGGTTCAGTGTTTCGCAGCGTATACACAGTGTATTTTAGCCCAACTCGATCCAAAATTCATTGTGAACTTTTCAATGATGATATTCTACAATGAATTACTGAGATGTGTTATGTGTGTTACTTGTTATACTCTTTGCTCTTTAATACATTTTACCCGTTATGACCTGTAATTATATTATCAGAATTTTATTTTTTATTTTTTTGTTAAACAAATACAACCACTAAAATTGAATCTTAAATGCTTATTTTGTTCATTCTAACTTGTATTTGGAAGAATTAGCTGGAAATTCACAACTTAACTTTTTTCAGGAAATGACTTCTTTATCACTAACGCTGTTGTTGCAGGACGGGGTCAAACTTTTCCCTGCAGTATCGAAAATGGTATTGAGTAGCAAGTATTTTCCTCAGTATCGAGTTTGAAATTCTAGTATATTGACAACTCTAGTATTAACACGAGCAGAGGGAGCTCATTTCTGTCGTTTGTATCCGTGATCTCTTCTTTTTTCCACTGCCCAAAGCCTGCAGACACAGGTGAGGACAGGCAGGTAGACTGACCAGTAAATCAATAGCTTCAGTTTCACACTCAGTTTTCTCTTCACTGCAACATCTACCAATCTCTCCATTTCTTGTGAACAAGACCCCAGGGTACTTAAACTCCTCTACTTGAGGCAGTAACGGTGCCAATTATCATCTCCGAAACTTCACACTGGGTTTCAAACCTCCCCAGTATGAGCTGGAGGTCACCATCTAATGAGCCAAAAGAACTACATCATCCACGGAAAACAGAGTGCTGCTTGGCTGTGCCTATCAACTAATCAACTAAGTTTAATATTTAAACTGCTGGTACATTGATCCAAAACAATGTTCATATGTACAAATTAAATATTAAAATGATAAACATACACCTTGGGATTTGATTTCACTGTTTCTGTTTGTATACTATGTGATATTTAAAAAGACTAGCTCACAAAATAACACACATCATACGAGCTGAACCCTGAAAGCAGCAGAAAGGTGAACTAACAGCAATATTATCATCAGCAGGAACACAACATCCTGTCACACAATCCCCACATAATCACAGGAAGAGGTGCCTCCACAAACACAGCAGTAACACTAGACCCCTCCATCACAATGCATTTGGACTGTTGTACAGTGTGTGCTGGGGATAAAAATACTTGCACTGAAAGCGATATCATTTAGCCAGAGCGAAAAATACTTTAACTGAAAATCTTTTAACAAAATAAATAAACCATGCTATTTTTTTGGTTTTAAAGTCTAAACTTTAAAAAAAAACAAAACAGAAAAATTAGAGGAAATATTTTTTTTAAGTCTCTCCACCCAAACTAGCATAGATAGCATATCAAAAATAAATTAATGTTGACCTTTGGCTTCATGCACAATCCCAGCTCAGGTAAATGTCCTCTGCTTAACCCATTATGCCCATTAGCCCATTATAACAAAATTCCGGACCAGAGAAGGTGTAACAGTGTAAGTTCCCTATCAGTTAATTACAATATGATGAAAGATTATTACAGATTTTTTTT